GAGTCTGCCTTGACTCATGGAGGCTCTCAAATACGAAAGTATTAGTTTCAACTGGCTGAATGATCTCTCACAGCTGGCGATGGTTAGCATTATCTGAATAGCAATGCGAAGATTGGGGAAGTCGCTCTCATCTCCACACTGAATTGATATTTTCATGTTGGCCCGACTTGATAACAACATTCTGCAATCCAAAATTTCTTCATATAGCTGCTGTCTATCAACATCAGAGCTGTACAATTCGCCCACGTTTTCGCACTTCTTCTTTAGGTCATTACTGTCGGCGCCGTAACACAGTCCCTCGACATCGAGAAGGAACTCAAACATGGCGTCAGTGTCGTGCAAATGAGCGAAACTTTCGTCCATTTCTTTGTGAAGATAGTTGAGTGTTCCCTTTATGACTCTTTCCATTTCCTTCTTGGCTGTTAACCCAGCATCTCTCGAGTTCTCATCAGCCAATCGTTTCTTTCGTCTTTGACATCTTTCAACCTCAATTTCCATTCTTGACAGAGACCGGGTCCTTCTTCGAATGACTTATTGACCAACATTTCTCTTTCATCATCAAAATGATCTCGGAGGGCTTTCAAATACAAGGCAGCATCGTGAAAGTTCATGCTAGGATCCTGCAGCCTCTTTTGAATATGGTCAATGCGAATGAGTACTTTGTTCCAAAATCCTAGCAAAGTCAGAAAATCCTAACTCAACATGCGGTTATACAGCTGCCTTGCATCACTTATTGTTTCACTGGTTTCGTGTTTATTGTCTATCATGTCCCGGAGAACTTGAAGTATATCCTCAAGGTACTTGTTGACGGGCTTCACTGCTTCTGTCCTTGCACTCCACCTGGTTTTGGACTGCGACTTAACAACCACAGGCACGGCGTTTTTTAGTTTTTCCCAGTGCTGTGTTGAACGAGAGAAGAACACGTAGAGAGCTTCGATAATTCAGAAAAACGTGATCATCATTGTATCCTGCTTGGCTGCATGTACACCCACCAAGTCGAGTGAGTGATTGTCGCAATTCACAAACATTGCCAGGTTGTTTTCCTCACTTATTCTTTGAGGAACACCGTCACAGCAGCGTTGTCATAGCATTGTGACCGACAATCTTGTAGCTCCATTTCGTTCTTCTCTAACTGTTTCAAGATGTCTTCAACCAAGCTCTCAGCATCCTTCTGTCTTATCTGGATAAAACCAAGGAAGGAGTCTCTAACACGGACTGTTTTCCCCTCAGAATCAGTTTCCACGTACCTCACTACTTCTGATATCTTCTCATGGTGTGCCTGATCAGGAGTCGAGTCGAACATGAGACCATAGTACTTGTATTTACGAATGCTTCTCAGTAAACTCTGGCGAACAGTGGATGCCATCATGTGGATGAATTCATTCTGGACACCCGATGAAAGATAAGACATGGATCCAGGATGACTTTCCACACGAGTGAGGTGTTCTTTTATGACAGGGTCAAAGATGGCCAGTAGTTTCAGTAAGCCAAGGAAATTTCCCACATTGGAGTCATAGTCTACCTGAAGTGACTCCCTGTGTCCTCGCAAAGCCAGGTTCTGAGTCGCAAGGGATTTTATGCAGTGAAGGATTCTCGTCAAGATATCACGCCACTTCTGCTTTTCCTTCTCAATCTGTGACTGAAGTTCCACGTCAATAATTCCTCTGTTTTTAGCTAAGTATCTTTCCATTTCTTTCCACTGTGTGAAGCACTTCCGATGATTCTTAGCATTTTCATGAATCCTAATCCTTTCATGTGCTTTCCACTGGTTAAATCCACTTTCCTCTCCAATGAGGATTGATGGTCTGACCAGGAACAGAGAAGACAACAGATACAAAATGCAGACTTTTTAGAAGGGGAATAGACCAGCCATGAGTGAGTCACTTCCTCACCATGACAATTTCCCAATTTCCTTTTGAACAAAGTTTTGTTCAATGAGCGGTTATTTGTTGGTAGGAAAGGCCCCTCACTGTTCTGGAAATACTTCAAACCCAGCTATATTATTTCTCTTCTCAACGTGTCAGGCAGAACTGCTTTTCTAGTATCCTTGTCGTACATCAGAAGTCCAATTTCATGCTGTTCAATCACTTCTAGTATGACAGTTCGAGGATTTTTGACACCATCCAGTTCACTAGGTTCAGTGTCATCAGGTTCAATATCGTCAGATAAAATCTCGTCAATAAACTCAACATCATCACCACCACCACCACCATCGTCTTCCCCTCCTGTCATATTCACGTTCTGTCTGGCAGCCTTACGCTTAATCTCGTTATACTCGGATTTATCTGACTTGACTTTCTTCTCGGCTTGTGACGCATTTGTACTTGATCTACCTTCGGATTCTAACAAACTTGTAGCTGGTGCAGGCGACTCCATGGAACGTGTCGAACGACTTGTTTCGGGCTTATCAAAGAAGTGCATGAACAACTTGCTCGACTTCTTGGCTTCCTCTGCATCCAACTTTCGTCTCTTCCATCCTTCAGCTCCACTTTCCTTCTTCTTCGTGAAGAAACATTTCATGGTCTTACACAATGCTCTGAAATAAGGAAATGGCACTTTTAATAAGTACATTAAATTTCATAGATTTTGCTCAAAATTCCGGACTACCTCCCTAGTTTGTGCAGGAGAATGGTCTTACTGCCAGTTGGCACTGAGCAGTGGTACTATGAAGTATGTGGTCGTGCTGCTCCCAGCACTGTATTTTTACCTAATAATTTATGTAAGTGGTTTAACAACTCGATCATCCTATGCTTCTCACCCATGATAATTAAAGACAGATCATACATCTGAAGAAAATTCGTTTATCACTATTCGAGGATGGCTTGTCTGGCTTTAATAGAAACTGCTCAGTGGCGCCCAGGGTACGTGGCATACCTTAAGTACGTCACTGATGATTGTGGACTAGATATTTGTCAAAGTTCCCTGGATTTCCAATCGACCAGTTACCCATGGCTGTACTCACTGTTCTTGACTTTACTAGATGTTGGAACATGCACTGCATATTCTGCGAATCAACCTCATTTATAGCCTAGCCTCATCTATAGCCTACCATTCAGTTGTAATAAAGAGAGTACCCAGCTCTATGAGAAAGAAAGGGATCGAGATTTCTTGTATCCTACACTATCAAGTTGACCTGGGTCAGGCATGCTAACCTCACCTTTGACCATTAGTTCCTGCGAGTGCTCGTCTTCTCTCAGGGAGTGTCTTCCATTTAGAATTATATAACAGTTGTATTTTAAATTGCAAGGCTTTACCTTGTTCATAATACGTATATCTTACTTAAATACAGCGTTTTCATGCTTCAAAACTGTATTTTCTAATGGAACATCGTCTTACTGAGAAACCAGATAATGAACCTAGTTTTGATTTAAACTATAAACCATACTTGACAAACACTAGTTTGCAGTAACCGCAATTGGATAAAAACAAGAATATGGTTGTGGTTATAACACGTAACGTAATATATACGTGAAATAAACCCAATGGTAATATTGATTGATTACTGAAATTATCCCACAAGTCTGCCTGATTGAGAATATTCTTATGAAAACTTTGTGACCACTAGTATATATTTAATATGATATATATATGCCAGTATTTGTTTCAGACATCTAGGTAAGATTCCACATAATGTTTCCAATTTGCACGTGCTTTTATACCTGCATTTTTTACGTATTATTACGACAGCGGAAGTCACGCGACGCTGGAAGCATGCGCGCTGGAGTTTCTAGAAGGATCATTTCTATTCCTGGCAACTCTAGTCTTTTCTACGCACCCGCTATTTTAGTATATAAGCAGGCAAATACAGCGAGATAATTAATTGAATTGCAGACAGGCAGAGATAGAGATGGATAATTGAGTCAAGCGCGGTAGTGACCATAAGTAAATTGCGTGAATCGTTGTGAATTATAGCGTGTGTTTAAGTTAAAGTGGCTGTGGAAATTAAGTGTATTGCAAAGTTGTATTGAGAAAGAATAAACTAGTTTTATTTAAGAAAGGACTTGTATCACTGAAGTTTTTCGGAAAGAATTTCCACGGAAAGTTAACCAACGATTAGAGATGTAACAAATTGGTGTCAGAGAGTGGGACAAAAAAAATGGAAACGAGAAGCGGCAAATCAAACTACAGCTTAGCAGATTTGATGGCAGCTATACAAGAGCAGCAAAAGAAACAAGAAGAACGAGAAAATAAAAAAGAAGCGAGATTACAGCAGCTGTTGGAGGAAAAAAAGAAACAAGAAGAGAAATTACAGCAGTTGTTAGAGGAAAAAAGAAAAGAAACAAGAAGAGAGATTACAGCAGTGGCAACTGGAGCAAGAAGGAAACAGGAAGAAAGTCTCCAACAGTTACAGGAAAGTCATCAACTGTGGCAAGAAGAACAAATGGAAAACATTAGCAAATTTCAAAGTGAATTAAATACATTAAAGGATGATTTGCTGTCTTTCACACATGGAGGATATATTAGTCATCGGCCTAATCAGCCTCAGGCAACGGGAAGCCCATTCCAGACCCCGCAGCTAAACCCTAATGCAGACATCTTCAGTCCTGTTTGACGTCACATCCCAGATATGAATGTAAGCAATAGGGGTGATCTAGTACGAAGGAAGCCCAGGAATTCGATGGGAGGCATATGGAGCACAATTTGAGCTCCTAGTAGAAATGAATGGATGGACAGAGGAGCAGAAAGCAGTATACCTGGCAACGAGCTTGAAGGGACAACCACTGGAAATAATTGGACAGTTGTCAGCAGATGACAAGCACAACTATAGAACACTGGCAGCTGCTCTAGAACTCGGGCATGGAACTCAAAATCAGTTTCAAGTCTACAGGGCTAGGTTTAGGACGAAAGTCCATGCTAAAGAGGAGAGCCTTCAAGAGCTGGTACAGGATTTGGAAAGTATGACACACAAGGCCTACCCAACTGCACCACGCGATGTCCTCAAGATGTTGCTGAGGTATCACTTTGTAGACGCCTTAGATAGTCCACAACTGAAGATAAAAGTGAAGCAAACACACTCCTCTACTATGCAGGGTGCAATGGCCAGAGCTCTTGAGTTTGAATCATACGTTAAGTCCAGCACAGAGGTACCAAGGTTGGTACAGTCAACAGGATTCAAGCCCAGAAAAGGGCAGCTTTCAGAGAAGTTTGAGAGAATTTGCTGGCACTGTAACAGCCCTGGGCACAACAAAGCTCAATGGCGGTAACTTCAACACAGGGAAGATGCCACGGCAGGAAAGGCTGCTACCCAGAAAGGATGTTGGAACTGTGGAGAGCAAGGACATATGAGGACATATGTAAGAAGAATATTACCAATAAGTCAGCCTCAGGGAAACCAGTAGTGGTTGGTGTTGAGGTACACCCACCAACCCCCATCGTGAAAGTGCAACTTTGTCATAGATTCTGCGTCTCGGCAAACCATTGTGAGTATCAAGATGCTGGATCACAAAGGAGTACCAGAAGCCATACAGAATCTCTGTGGTGTGACAGGACATTATGCAAGGTTGTGTTGACCAGTTGGGTAACTATTGAGCTCATGGGCATGAAGAACAGACACAAAGTATACCTGGCTGACATTGAAGACCCACACATATTTGGGTTGCACTACTTACTACCAAGGAAGTGTGCAGTTAACTTCGATAAAATGATGTTTGGGAACAATAAAGGCCAAATTCCGGTAAATGTTAAAAGAGAGGTTGAATTAACCAGGTGTCATCAAGGTGAAGTCAAAGTGACTGAACGAGTTG